AGGGGCAACATAACCCATCTACAGAACAGTTCACAGCCTTGTAGGCACAGGATTATACAACAGGTGTGCCAGGGAACAAGGCTGCACAAGGAGCCAGGGTCAAGACCACGCAGGCCTTTTGCATCGGTCAAAGGCATGTAGGCTTTTGTTCTGTTATACTGGGTGGTGAGAACTATCCAAAAGCCTTGTGGAGGAAAGTGACATGTTCTAGACGGTTTCATAACTATTGCGGCAGTAATCTAGAAAAGCCAGCGTGAGGAGTTGACAGTGGGAGTGGAGGAAGTGCGGCCCATGGAGCTGTGCAGCTAATAGAACCAGCAGGGTTTCCTGATGCTTTAGGTACAGAGCAGAGGAAACAGCAGGATTGAGGATGGCTTGAAGTTTGGGAACTTTCTGAATGGATCTGTAAACATTTGATCAAAATATTAGGACATGGTTATAGTTGGCAATTAAACGTTTTTTGTGGTACCAATTTGATATGGTTGTGGAATCTTCACTAGCAGCATTTGTAATCACACTTAAAGGCACACAGAAGTACGTTGTTAAATCGTCTAGTTCTGAAGTTTGGCTAGGAAAAATGCATGCATGGAACAACAGAGAGATAAATATGGATAACTGGTGACATGGAAAAGCCCTCCTCATCTCGTTTTCAGCACTGCAAGCGTGTCAGCATTTCTTTTGTAGCACACTGGTAATGGAAACAGTGGTGTTGAAATCTGTGTGTAAACTGTTGCGAGAAGTCTAATGAATTGAATGAGTGATAATGTACACGTCCAGTTTCGCATTCTTTCGCTGAGGATTGGCTGCTCTGTGCCCCATGTGCTGCCATCATTATCTTTACATGTGGATCAGCACACAGAGTTGTATTTGTTTAAAGTGGCCTCCCTTACTAACCTGTCGAATCCTAGGTCTGGGCCAGTTTTGTTGTCTTGCTTATGAACTCTAATCATATCAGGAACATGTATGCACATGCATTAAGTACTCAGTTCAATGGGTGAACCTTCTCATTAATAAAAGTGTGAATTACTTTTGAATAAATACTATTAAATGTGAGAATTCGTGAAGCTATAATATTAACTTCTCACAAAAAACAAAATATACTAGTTTACTTGGGGGTGACAATTATTTTTTTATTATGAACTATCACTTTTTTGTGCCTTACTGTAGTACTGCATAGGGAAGGGCTAGGGTTTCATCTGGATTGCCGAGGGCATAAAAATAAAATTCAGGAGCATAAGAGGGACCCGAGGCACAATTGAATCCATAAGAGGGACCCGAGGCACAATTGAATCCATTGGCATTTTTTCTGTGTACTCATATTAAAGAACTTATTTGTTTATTTTGCCAGAAAACAACAGCCTGGATGCAGATGCCCACTTTAAACCTTCACCTCTGCCAAGGAACATGTTGAAAAAGAACAGTCCCAGGGAAGAGAAAGAAATGGTGGGAGAAGATAAGGAAAGCATCGTTGGCGAAGAATTAGACTCTCCTTCTGCATCTTATTCTCTCCCAAGACTGAATGGCTTACTTTTAGAAACCGAGAAATCATCGTTCTCTGAAGGTTTGGATCCCGAGGAGGTTAGCACCATTGGACTCGGGCCTTTTTTGCAATTGATTATTTCTAACAGAGAGAGAGAGAGAGAATTGCATCTGTTTTTTTCTGAGAAAGAGAATTGCAACTGATTATTTCTGAGCAGGGTGGGGTGGGGGTGGGGGGCAGGCATGGATAGAGAATGAACGCAGCAAGTTGACTGAGGTTCCTCTGTCTGGTTTTTAAAAACATGTATCATAGTTCATTGAGCTCTCCATATTTGTAAGCTATCTCCTACCATTGTTTTGGGGGGGCTTCCATTTCCCTTTGCTTTGGTTGTTTTTTTTTTTTCCTTTTTTTTTTTTTTTTTCTTTTTTTTTCGTTTTTTCCCTTCCTTCCTTCCCCCTCCCCCGCCATTCTTAGATTAAGTAATCCACACTACTCTTTCTTCAACTTAATGATTTCGGTCATCTCTGATCTAATGTTAAATGTAATATCCATTCATTTTGTGTTTGTTATTGCAATGTTCAACTCTAGCATTGTTACTAGTGCCTTTTCCCATCTTGCTGTGCTCGCCCATGTGTTTATCCACCATTAATGATTTCATCTGGTGACTGAGCCTCCTTGCATTAGCTACTTCAAAGTTCGTGTTTACTGTTTACAACATCTGAGTCATCTCTGAGTTATTTCTAGTTGACTTTCTTGCGAGTCTTTGCATTTTTGGTATGTGTTAGCATTTTCTGTTTCTGCACATATTCAGCGGCTGCTGCCTGTCACTTGCAGGAGAGACGAGGCCTTCTGCTCCCATGAGGACTTACACGCTTGGAAAGTCGTATGGACAGATGTACTCTGCCCTGTCGGGTTGCTATGAGTTGGAAGCAACTCAATGACAGAGAATTTGGAGTTTTAGAAGATAACTGGATAGTATGCATGATGTTTGCAGAGATTCTGGATTCCGTTATGTTCTTCTTACTGTGTTTTCCTAGCGACACTCAAATTCCCAACTCTGGCTCCCCTAGTAGATCTCAAGTACAATGAAAAGCTCCACTTAATTAGTAAGTGCTTCAGCTTCGTAAGACCTTCTAAGATTTTCTCCAAGCCGAAGATCAGAATGAATTTGATATTCATCTTTGGAGATTCATGTCCTTTATCTTGTAGCCCTTCGGTCCAGTTCATTAAGGCTACAGCGTCCTACCACTGTGACCTACACAGATTGGGGGATGCCCTCGATGAAAAGTGCTAACTTGCCGTCCTTACCTGAAGCTGTAGTCTCTCACAGTAGTTTCCTATGTTTCAGCCTTTCTACACTCACCTGGCTGTTTTCCCGCCCTTTTGACAAGTCCCTATACATTCAGACATGTATAAATTTTCTGTACATATACTTTAAAAATATTATGAGGAAGAAAATGCAAATACATATCCAAAATTAAACTTCTCAAATTGAAGATGATTATTCTGTAAATAGATGCTTATCTTCTACTAACCCATGGCCATCGAGTTAATTTCTACTCATAGGGACTCTGTAGGGCAGAGGAGAATTGCCCCATAAGGTGTCTGAGACTGTACATCTTTCCAGGAACAGACAGCCTCATCTTTCTCCCATGGAGAACCACCAGCCTTATAGTTAGCAGCCCAAGTTTAATCCACTGCATCACCAGGGTTCCCTGATGGTTTTTCTAAATATACAAATAGAATGATTTCAGATATAATGCTCCAGTTTTCCGAAAAACTCAGGAGCATGTCATCTACGCATAGTCCTAAAATATTCGGGAGTACCTGGCTACTTTATTTTCTCAAATTGTGTTCTAAAATTTGTTTTCACAAATTGTCTCCATTTGAATAATGTTTGATATAAATGTTTGTCTGCTGCCTTCTTGATACTTGGTAAGAAAGGAAAATTAGAGAAAAAAGTATTAACTCTTTGCCTTAAATATTTATAAGATATTTGATTGTAGAACTGTGAGAGTTTTGAAAATTGCTTAAAAAATACAGAGGTAGCAGTTGGATAAAGAACTGCAATAGCTATTTTGATGACTCTTTTCATGACCAGCATATCTGCATAAAGTAAAGCTTATGAACAATTTGCGTATTTTAGGAGCAAACTCCTATTGTAGATTTCAGTGTTGTGAAATGGTATTAATAATGCTTTTGCCTCTGCAAACCTTGCGAACTAAACTCACGTTTTATTTTAAATAGGGTCCGTCATTAACAAGCCCATCGTCACTGTCCCTTAGAGACAATATTGGAGGTTCTCTTTCACCAGAATCTGGAAAAAAAACAGTCATTACAGGTGGCTATGTTTAATTATCCTAACATGTTTTGAGACACCTCTGTAGCTTAAAATCTGATTTATAAAAGAAATAAGAATCTGTGTCCTTATAGGAAAAACCTTTGTGAGTCTGAGCTCTCACTGCAATTTGCTAGTCACGTACGTGTAGACACAGCACCTAATCGCTGAATGCCAGTTTCCCATACCCATCACCATAAAAGCCACAGCAGCTGCTGCCACCTTTTGAATCTGTTGTGAACATTAAGTGACACTGTGCACGTCAGCCATTGACCCAGTTGCTGACACATACAGTGATCACTCAATGTGAATACTTATTAGTCAAAGTAACCCCAAAAGCCTTATAGACGTATTACAGTTGCGTATGACTTATATCACCCCTCTAGAACAGAGGGGAACTGACCCACAGTGTTCCCGAGACTATAAGTCTTCAGTGAAGTAGACTGCCATTTATTTTCCCCCATGGAGTGGCTAGTGGGTTCAAACTGCCGACCTTAAAAGTTGCAGCTGAGTGCTTTAACCAATGTGCTACCAGGGCTCTGAATTACTATGAATGGCTTAATGTCACAGTCCATAGCACAAGCTAATGCTTAAGTGAGATCTGAGAAAGAGACTAAGTTGAATTGGAATCCATGCACTGCTATGTGAGCAAGTTATCATCTCTGAACCTGTGTACTAAGGAGCCCTTGATGGTGCAGGGGGTTAAGTGTTATATGTTAACCACAGCCTTAGCAGTTCAACCCCACCAGCTGCTGTGCTGGGGAAGCTGCCTGTTCTCATAAAATGTATAGTCTCGGAAACACTGTGCAACAGTTCTACCCCATCTTATAGGATTATTGTGAATTGGAATCGCCTCTGGCAGTGGATTTTTGCTTTGAGCCTGATTATTTACTTTTAATAGAGTAACCTAGCTTACGGGTTGTCGGGAGAACTGAATGAGTTAATCAGTGTGGAGTGCTTAGAACACTATCATAGTATACACACAAGAAAGGTAAGGGATGAGCATTTCATATTCTCTCTTTCCTTAGAGCTATTAGTTGTAGCTCATCGAGGAGTAAAAGGGATAGCTCTTATTCTTAAGCCTGCATATATAACTAAGCATATATATATATATATATGCTGCATATATATATAAGCCTGCATATATATCGCTTACTGACCCATAGCGACCCTATAGGACAGGCGCCGACTCCACCTGTGGGATTCTGAGACGGTAGCTCTTTGGGAGCGTGTGCAATCTCTTTCTCTGAAGGCACAGGTGATGGTTTCCAACTGCAGCCCAACTCATACCCACTATACCACCAGGGTTCCCTGTTAGGTCCTTGGTAGATAGTAGAGTTTTTGTCATTTTAAATATGAGAAAACTGAAGTGTAAGGATATTGGCAGCCATACCCAAGGTTAGTGGTGGAGCCACAATATCAAATCTTTGGGTCAAAATCCTTCTCTTTACTGAGTATCATGAGGGGGTACCCCCCCAAAGTGTAGCTTATATATTAACGCTTTTTCCTGCTTGGCAATCATAGAGCAACTCACTCTGAGTTAGTGCACCCACTGGCGTTGCCTGGGAAGGTTCTTGCTGGTCACAGTGAATTTTTTCTTTTCTTTTTTTTGAATTCTTTCATAAAAGCAGTTTAACTTAAACCTCGTTTCTTTGTGATGGCATGCAGCTGTGAAATTCTGTTACCTGCTTGGGAAAAATGCCGCAGAAACTGTTGGGATGTTGACTACAGCTTACAAGGACAGCACTCTGGGACAAACTCAAGTGTATGAGTGGTTTTCTCGTTTCAAAAAAAGTGAAATGTCGATTGATGACATACCTCATTCTTGACGTCCGTCAACTTCCCAAACGGACGAAAATGTCAACTTTTAGCGCATTTGGAGTTTGTTCCACCAGATCAGAGTATGAACCAAGCTTTCTATTTAGAAGTTCTGAAGATATTGTATTACAGTGTATAACAAAAAAGGCCTGCTTTGTGGCACACAGGGGACTTGGTTAGCTACCACGACAATGCACCTGCTCATGTAATCATCTCAGTGTGCCTGCAATTGGCAAAAAACAGCATGCCTCTCTTTCCCCACTCATTTTACTCACCTAATCTGTCTCAGCGTGACTTCTTTTTGTTTCCTCGAATGAAGAGGGACATGAAAGGGTAGCAATTTGATGACATAGAAGAGGTGAAGAAAAAAAACGAGGGAGGTGCTGTCAGCCATCCAAACCTGAGTTTGAAAAATGTTTCCAAGAATGGAATCACCGATTTGACAAATGTATTAATTAAGTTAATGAAGAGTACTTTGAAGGTAATAAGGTTGTTTTGTAAAAAAAAAAAAAAATTTTAATACATTCCTTTGGAAAAATCTGGTTTAGGGGTGGTATCCCCTTATACTTATTAACAATATTAAAGAATCTAATAATGATCATTTCAGTCATAATTATTCTCTAAGATATGAATGTATAATTACAATAAAAAGTTATTTTAAATCTTACTTACCTCAGAAAAAGCACAAGCAAAATAGTTTCCTGCAAAACAGCAAGATGAAGACCTTTGCCAGTGAAGAGCGAGGGGTCGCCAAAGAGGTTGCCCCTCTCAGAACTGCAAGTTGCTGGCTCCTACCGTGAGCAGTATTATTTCTCTGGTGCGTTGCAGTGTGATGAAGCGCAGTACTAGCATTCATTCTGCAAGAGTAAAGCTGGGCACTGAAACAAGTAATGGGCCTGCCCTTACTGCCATGGGGGCATAGTGGGTTTAGCACGAGTTGCAAGCTAGCAGTTTGACACCACCATCCACTCCATGAGAGAAAGAGGAGGCTTTCTACGACTCCTTTGGTCTCAGAAACCCACAGGGACAGTTCAGCTCTGTAGTTCAACCATGCAGGGTCACTCTGGAGTCAGAAGCACCTCGCAGGTAGTGAGTTTGGTTTGGAGGTCTAGGTATAGGTGCAATACAAAATGGACCAGCGACAGTCATTGTATAAAGGAAAACAAGTCATTTGCTATCTAGATAATTCAATAAGGAATTTTAATATTGTTGCTCTATCTCAAAATAGGTCAGACTGAAGAATTCACTGAAAATCTTCATTCCTTGAAATCAAAAGAAAATGAAGAGAATTCATTTTTTATGGACTTGGTTCCTACCGCGTTTGAGAAAGCCAAGCAAAGTCAAGTGATTGCTGATTCTCCTGAAGGAGAAACGGGGGAGGCAGTCCTGAGTGCGGAGGACAGCTTCGCA